AGTTAACATCACTTGTCTTACAATGATGCCCATGACTGCAGCCTGAATAAACAACAAAACAACTTTCCTCCTGCATATAACCCATCCATGTATCTCCTTCATGATAAAATGATTTGGTAACAGCATCACATGTAATATTGGCGCCATATTTTATGTGTTTGTTGCAATCACACCTGAGAGACTTGTGGGACAGACTAAAACCAAATGGGCATTCCTGAATGTGAAAAAGGACTTTCTTTGTGCTAGCTTTACGCTTCTCTATTGCAAATGTTACCTCTTGAACTTTTGGCAATGTAGTGTTTTTGTTGATCGTTGGTGTGTAATACACAGTAGTGCAGTTTTTTGATGGTGTCATTATTCTTTCAAATTCAATATTCTCTTCTTTTACGATGATATTGCCTGGTACAATCCCACCTCCTTCCCCAACTAGGACAATATCAATGCCCTTTAGCTGTCCTGGAAGTACAGAGACATTTAAACTTTTTACTGACTTGTCTACAGTATTGTTATTACAGAAGAAAAGATACACAGGGTCAGATGAAATAACTGAAGACCCAGATTGATTGGAATATTCAAATATTGAATTAAATATTTTTTTACCATGAGTAACATTTATTCGGTTGTGATTTACTGTTACAATTTCACAACTCTCAGTATTTCCACCATAGACAGCTGATCCAGCATCAGTGGCAGTGTTTCCTTCAAATATTAATGAGACATTAAATTTATTATTAATTTCAAGATTAGTTGGTTGTATAAAGCATGAATTTTGAACAAGGGATGAGGCAGTATCAATAAAGATTGCTCCTCCTTTACTATCAGCTCTGTTTTGTTTAAATACTAACCTTGTAGATGAATTTAGATTTAAAAACATAATTGAGCCTCCTGAAAAAAATATTCCACCACCCACATGAGCTGAATTGTCAGAAAATATGTTGTAGCCCAAAAATTTTACTTCAGCATTCAGCAACAGCAAACCAGTTACAGAATTTTGAGCTATATGAACATTTTCAAGTGTAACAGTAGACTTGTGAATGCAAAAGGCACTCGGAACACTACCACCAACAGCACTGCGCACATTAGTAACATCAGTTTGACTGTGAGTGATATTTGTATTTTTTACTATGACATTAGCTCCAGATACATCAATAAATAAGTTGGCTCCATTAAATCCAATATTGTTACTCATTACACAAGACTCTATTATCAAAGGATTATTGTTGCTGTAATTCATATTACCTTGGAGTGCCAAGCCAGCATTATTGGGTGCCTTATTGTGAAGGAAATGACTGTTAGAGATATGTAGTGGAAAATTGGAAACTACAGATTCATTTTGAAAGCAACTTTTAACATGATACAGGGGAGAACCAAACAAGATTGAAAAAATACCAAAAGGTAAAATGTGTAACTCATCAACTTTAGGCATTGGGTATATTTTGTTACCATATATGCTTTTACAGTTAGAAACTATGAGCGAGTGATATGAATATGCTTTATTCACAAAATAACGAAAATTGCCTGATACAATTCCAGTATTGCCATACAGCATAAGCGAATCTAATCTAACATCTACCCCATAATTATCTCCTTGAATCATAACAAAAGAGAGACCACTAGCCGATTCTAGTGTATAACTCCATCATCAAAACCAAAAGAGAAATTAGAATTGTACACATTGACTGAATAGATGTTAAATTGATTTGTACAATTTTCAAGAGATGTGTAGACTAGTAGCGCATTACCCCCAACACAACTGTTGACAGTGCAGTTCTCATGGCCTGCCAAGTTGTTACCAGCAAAAGATGAATAGGATAT